GGGGGGGGGGGGGGGGAACAGGGTCAAATTAAAAGCAGGGTTGCAAATGGGGATGTAAAGAACAGAGAAATGTATGGAAGGGACAGGGAAATAGTACTGTGATATTCTGCAGAGATTTCTTCCGAGAGAGGGCGGCTGCCTGGGGCAGGAGGAGGGTGTCAAGAGGAAGAGGGGGGGCGTTTTTGGAGTTGAGGGTGACCTGATGGAGAGCGTTGTGGGAAGACAGATTTCCAATCGAGTTGAAAAAATTACCGTTCTTCTCTCTGCATGTACAAACAAGAGAACTGGCCCCTTTGTTCTCTTTTTTTTTTTTTTTTTTTTTTTAAGAAGAAGATCGCCCTCTTGCAGTAAAGGGCGGGCATAAATTGAGGAAAGGAGCCCCTCTTTCAGGAAAGGGGGTATAAATTGAGGAAAGGAGCCCCTCGTTCAGTAGGATGAATTTGGTTCCAGAGGGGGGCCCATTCCAGAATTCACGTAAGGTTGACAGATCATTCCAGAGTAATTAGCCATAATTTTGACTGGTCACAAAGTAAAAGGACCCTGGCCACAGCCATGAAATCCCCTCCTTTTTCGCTTTTGCACTTTCATTTCACTTCTCTTTCCCCTCTCCCCCCGCACAACTCCCCCCTCCTTTTTTTCCTTTTTTGCCGTTGTCCTTCTATTCTGCCTTTTGCCATCATCCTCTTCCCACTTTTCTGTCTATTTTTTTTTATTTTTTTTTTTCCTCTTCTTTTTCCTCCTGTGAGAGGTTTTCCCGGGGTCGTTTCCTTCTACCACAAGAGTTTCGTAATACTTGAAAATATAAAAATACTGAAATAGCCCTGGCCTGATTGCATATCTGAGTCATGTCTCATTTTGACAATGATTTTTTTTTTTGGTGGGGCTGGGGAGGGCCTCAAGTCTCCACTGGCACGGATGTGGCTGCTACGGGGTTCCCCGTAATACTATAATGACAATGAAAAAGGCCTGAAAGGCCGTCCTGTCCAGATTTGGCGCTTCACTACCGTCTTCTCCTGAATAGAATACATGGTCATTATAGCTGTATGTGGGTCAATTTTCAGGCTACATACAGCAGTAATGACCGTGCTTTTAAAAAAATATATAGTGATAGTCTACTTTGATTTTGGTTAAGGTAGATTATCATTTACAGTGTAATCAGTGAGGGGATTCTGCAGACTGGTGAGGGTTCAGCCTCCTGATGAGTTGGTGAAACTCCGACGAAACAGTTTGTCACAGCCCCTCGTTTGTTGTCCTCTTCTCTCTCTCTGCCTACGGTTTACCGCGCAGTTCTATTTGTGACGATATATATATGTAAAATACAGCTGTCTTCTCCTCATATGGGGGACAGTTGTATTTTTTTTCCCTACCCTATTTTCTTCTCTCTCTTTTTTCACCTCACACTACAGTCTTCCCCCGAATACAACGCACAGTCATTATAGTTGTATTTGAGGCATCTTTCAGTCTAGATACAGTTATAATGACCGTACGTTGTATTCGGGGGAAGACTGTAGCTACCCATATCTATGTCCTACCCACAAGAAAGCACGGTCATTACCTACCTTCTTCCCCCAAATACAACGTACGGTCGTTATCGCTGTATTTAGACTAACATCTAATCCAAATACAGCTATAATGACCTTACGTTGTATGGGAGAAGAAGGTAGCACGGTCTTCAGAGCAGAGATAAGTAATGACCGTGCTTTTCTATCCAGGTGAAGATGCCCTCCCTATATGCTTGACAACTCAGGAGGAAGGGGGGGGGGGGGCAGGGCGCAGGGGGCAAGGGCGGACCAGCGCCTGGGCAAAAGCCCGGGGTGCAGGGAAGGCCAAGTAGGAGGCAAATGGAGATGAAAATACGAAACTGAGGGATATTTTTCTTTTTCTTTCTTTTTCTTTCTTTGTCTTTTTTTTTTTTTTTTTTTTTTTTGCATGGTCCCTACGAACCGAGGATGGAAATCGAGGGGTACTTCAAAAAAAAAGGGAAAAAAAGGGGAACCATGCACTTGTGTGTGAAGACATCTGCGAAGAAAAAAGAAGCCCAAAGTTTCAAATGTAAATATATAGTTAGCAGCAGCTTAGGAAAGAAAGAAAGGAAAAACAAGAACTCTAGTATCAGACATAAAATTATAAATACATCGTTACTAGCATCTTAGCACACCACCTTTCTTTAGTCCTCAGTACACAATTCTCCGTCCACCTTTTTCCTCAAATACTCATTTGTTAAACCAGCATACTCATTTGCTAAACCACCACACTCATTTGGTAAACCACACCGAGTATTGGATGCGGGTGGCGCTTGCCTTTTGTTGAACCGCCCGTTCTGCTCGGTATTGACCATCGTTTGCGGTTAGTAAAACCACCTCTGCTTTGTGCTAAGCGAACTGTCCCTAGGGATCAGTACTAAGTATCTCTGCTTTGTGCTAAGCGAACTGTCCCTAGTGATCAGTACTAAGTATCTTTAGTTGTACTAAGTGCACTACCCCTAGTGATCAGTACTGAGTACCTTTAGTTGTCCTATGTGCACTACCCCCAGTGATCAGTACTGAGTACCTTTAGTTGTCCTGTGTGCCAAGTGCACTACCCTCCCTTCAATTGTATGATCAAGTGCTTAACTCTACTAAGCTCTTTTGTATCTCAGGAGTCAGTACACACCTGGAGCAGCTCAGTCATCGATACCACCCTCAGTAACCACCATTTGTGCTTAATAAACCAACCTCCTTTGTGCTAAGTGTGTGTGCTAAGTGTATTACCTTTGGCAAGCTGAACTACAGTATCTTTAGGCACACGCAAGCTGTACTAAGTACCTTTAGGCGCACTAAGTACTTACTCTACTACAGCTTTTTGGCAAGCTGAACTACAGTACCTTTAGGCACACACAAGCCGTACTAAGTACCTTTAGGGGCACTAAGTACTTACTCTACTACAGCTTTTTCGTACCTTTACCTCCTTTGTGCTAAGTGTGTGCTCAGTGTATTACCTTTGGCAAGCTGTACTAAGTACCTTTAGGCGCACTACAGCTTTTTCGTACCTTTACCTCCTTTGTGCTAAGTGTGTGCTAAGTGTATTACATTTGGCAAGCTGTACTATTGCTAAGTGTATTACATTTGGCAAGCTGTACTAAGTACCTTTAGGCGCACTAAGTACTTTTAGTTGTACTAGTACTTACTCTACTACAGCTTTTTCCTACCTAGGCTTAGGACACACCTGTAACAGCTCAGAGCACTGAAACCGGACTTAGTAACCACCACACCATTTGTGCTTAGTAAGTAAACCAACCTCCTTTGTGCTAGGTGTGTGCCAAGCCAAGTGTACTACCTTTGGCACGAGCAGTACTATGCACCGTTAGTTGCACTAAGTACTTGCTCTAACGCAGTTCTTGCGTACCTTGGTATACGTTACTTGTACTGTGTATTTACTCTTTTACAGCTCTTTCGTACCTTGGTATATGTTAGTTGTACTGTGTATTTACTTTTTTACAGCTCTTTCGTACCTCAGCACACGCCTGTGGCGGCTCATTGCACTGATATCACCTGTAGTAATAGAGAAAAACACTCTTGGTAGCAGTTAAGACAAACACAACACCCTTGGCAGCATTTATTAAGCACCTGCCGGAAAGTTTGTTGTCGCTGGCTTGTTTGTCTCTTCCAGGAAATGTCACAATTAATAGGATGCTTTCTTCCCCAACCTGCAACCCCGCCCCGAGCTCTCAGTCACTCCCCTTGTGGCAAGCTAGGCATAGCTGTTATCTTTGCGACGCATCCCTTGCCGTCTTTCTCTGTGACGCAGCTGTGGTGATGGGGTAATGTTACCCGCGGTCTCGTTTGGTGATTCCGGACTTCCTGGGCTCCGTGGACTTGCGGGACTGGTCACGATAGTAATGTTCCATCTTCTCGCGGTCCCAGGAGTGACGGCATGCGCTCCTCCTGCAGCGGTCGTGCAGCACCCAGCCACCTGTCCACCCTTCCAGCCATTTGCAGCAAACGACAAATTACTGCTAATCCGCGCTTGGATCGAATTTGGCGGTGCGGTGTTGGGCTGGTGGTTCGGTCTCTCATCGCTAGGGGGGTTGTCCGCACTGCCACTGCTGCTGTTGTCACAGCTTCCTTCGGACACTAAAGAGGGGCTCTGACGGGCAGTTGTTATTTTGCCAACAATGAGGCTCTTTCTTGGCGTTGTAGCGGTTTTTCTGGGTGTCGTGCTGCTTGCTGAGCTGTTTTTCCTGGGTGTCGTGCTGCTGGCTGAGCTGTTTTTCCTGGGTGTCGTGCTGCTGATCAAGTTCACACATGGCGATCCTGCAGTAAGTGTAGCCCTGGTCATCGTGTCCGTTTTCAGCAGCTTTTCGTCCGCATCGAACCAAAGGGTCTCATTCGAACTCTTAGTCGTTGTGGTTGCAGACTTCCCTTTGGAGCTCTTGTCGCCGGGGCTCTGCTGCTCAACTGCCAAAGGCGATTTGGCGGCGAATGGGCTTTTGTCGCTGCTTTTCCTGGGGGATTTTTCAGGTTGGGAAGGTGACCCTGATCCTTGCAGCTTGGCCGCGGTTGCACATGCGGCACCCTTCATCATAGCGCAGCCTTGGCCTGCCAGTTGCTCGTGAGCGTCCTCCTCTGACTGCACTGTCTTGGAATGGCAAGGACTGGTACCTACTTTCGCATGTGGCGAGCTAGCGCTAGCTTTGCTCTGCGGACTTGAACTCGCGTCATCGCTCCGACCATGTGCCATTTGCTTTCTTTGACGGATGAGGCATTCCTGTGCTCGCTCAAGCCGTAGCGTGCTCTTCATATGGTTTGGCTGGAGGGCGAGCGCTTGCTCCGCATCGCGCGCGGCCTCCTCGTAAAGCCCCCCTCGAATGCATGCCTCAGCACGGTTGCTCCAAAGTACATGCTGATCTGCGTACTGTAATCCCGGCTGTTGACAGACAATGAATTGGTCAAAGATACAAAGTCAAACTTAGTCAACCTTGAAAGCCAAATTCAGATCATTCAAAGGCAATGAGTTGGAAAGTCAATCAGTTGGAAAGCCCGATCTCAACATGGAAAGTCAAGTCACAGTTGCAAAATGTGAGAGCGGAGAGTGGATGTTTTTGTTAAAACCGCCAGTACATCACCCCAGGCTCCAGATTTGCTTGTCGCCTTCTCCGAAAATTTTGTGCCTCGGGCCTACTTGAGCACAATGGCTGGCGGCACCAGCCGAAAAAGAAAAAGAGTGCGCCGCTGGCGATTCGGAAAAGCTCGGCACGCAGTGCATCACCTCCAGGCCCGAGTGGTATGTCCTATCATGTTGTTGCGATGCCACCACAAGGAAAAGGGTGGGGGTGCCAGGCAAAAAGATGCGAGAGCACCGCCAGCCTTTACCTTACTGTAGGAATTGTGCTGTGAGTCTGCCATTATTCTAAGACCTTCCTCTCCCCCCCCCCATGCACCCCTTCCCCCCCCCTCTCCCCCCCTGCACTCCATCAGTCTTCCTCATGCACCCATGCCACAATTTGCTGAGGTTCCCTTTTTTGTGGGTGAGTTGTTTCGTTTTTTTTTTTAACCAAGTGATTATCTTCCAACTTGACTCTGGCAGCAGTTTTATGAAAGGCCGTCCTATCCAGATTTGACAGGTAATTGAATTGGTCGGGCTTAAACCACCAGTACTTGGCCCAGCTATGCAAGCCGACCCTCAGGCAACCGGTAAGAGGAGCCTGCCGGGCCTGGGGGTACCAGTAGCTGGGCGGGCCGAACCTTGGGGAACCGCATTTGAAAAAAGAAAAGAAAAAGAAAGAAAAGGAAACAACATTGGGGCGCTGGGGACGTGCAGTTGGATGCATTCTCCCACGTGCTACTGTGAGCATGCCTTTAGTGAGGGCGTATGAGCCCCGTACACTGCAGACTGAATCTATAAAGAACAAGTAGACAAAAACTAAAAGAAACGTCACGTTGCTGTCAGAAGCAGGGAAAAAAAAAAAAAAAAAAACTGCTTTGGACCTGAAATGGGTCCCATACATCCATTGATGCTGAAGTGTGATCTCCTTCTCAATGCGGGCAGCTGAGCAGATCACGGGATACGCCCTGCCTTGCTGGCAGGGACTAAAAGAAAACGAAAAAACCCAAAAAAGAAAGCAAAAAATGAATTGAGAATCTTACGTGTATTGTGGTTAGATTCGATGTTGTAGGTACCAGCGTGAGCACGGCCACTGTAAGTGCATTTCCCGAATTCCAGCGCCTCCCAGGACTACGTGTTTTTTTTTTTTTTTTTTTTTTTTTTTTTTTTTTTTTTTTTTTTTTTTTTTTTTTGTTTCGATTTCCCACGTCGTAGACAGGCGACCGGGCTTTCTCTGTACAACCCACCGGGCAGCCCAGCGCGTTAACGGGAATTAGCCTTCAAATTCTTAAATAATAAAATAAAATAATAATAACAAATTAATATAATAAAAATAATAATAATTAATTGACCTCAAACTTGCTCAAAGGCTCAAAGTTTTATTTCTTTTATTTTAATTTTATTTTTAACTACGCTACTAGGTTACCAACCGGGCCGCCCGGGTGACCCTATTTTCCCGGGCGGCCTGGCCTGGCCCTGCAAGGACTAGGGAAGGTCCCAGCCCAAAACAAAAGAAAACAAAAAAAAAACAAATCCGAAAAAAAACTATGTTATGCAGAAAAATAAACTGAACAATTTTGCCTCGGGTCACATCGATATTCTTTGCGGGGTGCCAACCTGCTGCGCATGGTGGGAAAGGGATTACGCAAAGTATACGAGGAGGGGAGGCGGCGCCGGCGAATCATCGGTCTTCTTCTCCAGTTGCGGTCCATATCAATGGCTGTCCTGACGATCCACTTGAATTCTGCCCGCTCAATATATCGTCCGGAAGGTAAGTCTACCTGAGTGAGCTATGGTTGTGAGGAAGAGGCGGAGTGATAGGTGAAACCTCCTTCCCTCTTTCCCAGCTGTACGGTAAGCGGTTAGCTAGGGTGGTTCTTGAACTCCCTGTGGCGACTCGCCAACAGGCTTGGCGAGGGGGTGTCACACTGTTTTTGATTCCCGGTAGGAATTGAAGATGGTCGTTCTTGTCTTTGGTGTTAGTTTTGCTTCGAGCCTGAGAAGCTAACAATGGGAGGAGGGGAGTCCTTCCTTCCCCAAAGGCGTAGGGGTAGGGTTTGAAGGGTGGGGGGTAAGCGGTGGGGTGAGGAAGATGGGATAGGAGGTTGTTTTTGTTGATTTGGAATTTAACCCACGCGTGCCTTTGAAATTCACTAATGACCTCATAACCGAGCTTTTTATTTCTGTTGTTTTACCATTGATAATAATTTGGGAGTTTTGGTTTATGATTCTCGAATGTTTTTTCTAGGTTGGTTGACTGGACGAGTTTGTATTTTTTTTCGCTTGATTTTCAACGTGAGAGTATTTCGTTTTTTTGACATCTCCTGGTATCATTTGCAGCGATTTTCTGCGCAATTCCTAGCCATGAGTACGATCCTTGCCATTTAGTAGCTTCCTTTAACAATGATCTTATCTATGGTCTGGATTGTTTTCTTGTTTCTGATATTCGTAAGTCCAAAAATGAACATCTTAGATAGATTTCTTAAGCCACTTTAAAAACCAAAAAGCTTAAACTCTAAAAGATGTTTCAAACATATTTTGCAAATTCGTTTCTGATCTCCGATGCCTAAAAGTAGGCTTCCGAAGTATTTTTCAAAAAACAAAACCTACGTCTGCTAATCTCAACCTCCTGGTCTTGAGTATCGTGCGGTAAATTTTGACTCGGTTGGCCCTTTCCCGATTAGTCAAAGCTTACCCGAGTCAAAATGATTGCCCGGGTCTGTTGTATACCGTGCGGTAAATTTTGATTCGGATTGTTTTTTTTTTGTTTGCTAATCTCAACCTTCTGGTCTTGAGTGATATAATTGTGGCTTGCTGTGTATATCTGTGGGGTCTTCCTTGAGGGTTGGAGCCTCCCCCCGTGAGGGTTTCACAAGGCGGGAGGTGTTATACTTGGAGGTGGGAGGCGGTATTGGGGGATTGTCGTCTCTTAGCCAGACTGATTTAGGGTCGGATCAGTACTGGTGGGTGGGGAGAGAAGGCAAGGGGGTGGCTGCTGATAGCAGAGTGTTAGGTTCTTGCTCTTTGAGGGAAGGAGTGACTTCGATGGCTACACAATGAGCCGAAGGGGGTGGAAGCTAGAATTGAAGGATGGAAGGCAGCAAGGGGATTGTCAACAGAAAATGGTCGTTTGTTAGGGTAAGTAGGTTAGAAGGACGATGCTGGGACGACACAGGCCGGGGCTGGAGCCTTTGCTCTGTGACCCAAGGGGAGCTTGAGGCCTGTGAAGTTATGCTGAGGGTGGAAAGCATAACCAGATTGTCCGACGTAGTTGGCGCCGGGGTATTGACCCTGTAACCTGCTTAGGGGCTTGCCGCTAAGGGGATTGTCGAGGGAGGAAGGCACTTCCTGTCCGTCAGAGCTAGGTTGGTCGGTAGTGGGGAGGGTTGTGGTGCCCTGTTACCCTAGCAGAAAGGGGTATGAGATCAAGTGAGTTCTGGTACGAGGACTGAAAGCCTGGACCGACGCCCCGTCTGTTGAAAGGGGGAATCTAGGATAGTAGGCAGTTTTAGTCTTGTCCCCCCCGCCCTCATATTTTTCTAAAGCTTTTCAAATGTCCCAAAAAAAGTTGGTTGCTTAGTGGTCCTAGGAATGTTTTTTAGGACTCTGGGATCCCTACTAACTCTCTTAGGTGGCTTCGATGCTATTATACTCAGTGATCTGCGGCTGTTCGATGCCAGAACGACGCTGACCGGTGCTGGGGTGTTGCCCTGTAACCTGCGATGCAGGAGCGTGAGGTCTGGTAGAGAGATCTGGGGATGTCTTGGGGTGGGCTTTCCACGGGACAACCAAGGGTTGCTGCCGGGACGACACTGGTCGAAGCTGGGGTGAGTTGCGTTGCCCTGTAACCCAACAGAAAGTGAGGGTGTGAGACCTAGAAGAGATCGGTAGGGAGTAAGACAATTTTGGAGAACGTTGGAAGGGTTTATGTGGGATTTCGAGGTTTTCGGAACAATCGTAGGACCTCTGTGGCCTATTCTCATGCTTCTTGAACTACGGTAAGAGTTCTTAGGTACCTCAAAAAGAGAATAAGGCGAGTGGGAGAAGATGGTGGGTTATCACGCGTCCYRCCAGTGAGGGGGCTAGCTGGTAGGATGGGAGCATGGTATAGCAGCAGCAGAGATGGTGGCTCCGCTGCAGTCAGTCTTGCCGGAGTGAGGTAAAGTGGATTGATGTGGGTTCTTCTGAGTCGTTTCTGAATTTTGCTTAGTCATGAAGTTGTCGTAGACATGTCTGAAGTAGCTCCAATTTCTCTGAGCCAAAGTCGGGTAATGGGCCCGGTATCTCAATTTTCAAAATTCCAAAGGGGAAGATTGGTCCTAGGGATTGCTGGGCAAAGTGGCGGGTGTGCGGGCAGAAGAGGGATTAGTGCTCAGGGGTAAGTCTAATTAGAAGGGCGCGGTGGGGTGACAATGGTCGGTGCTGGAGCGCAGGTGCTCTGTAACCAGGGGTGGAGCTTGAAACTATTGGAGCTATGCCGAGGGTGGAAGGCATAACCATCTTGTTCAACGCAGCTGATGCCGGGGCAGTGACCCTGTAACCTGGGGGCTTTTCAGCTAAGGAAGCTGTCGAGGGAGGAAGACACTTCCTGTCCGTCAGAACCAGCTCGGTTGGTACTGGGGCAGTTGGTGTTGCCCTGTCATCCTAGCAGGGGGGTATGAGATCTAGCGAGTTCTGGTACGAGGACTGAACATCTGGGGTACGGTTTGTCTTCTGCGGTGCGAGGAAAGAGTTGGATTGTTGGTGGTTTCGTCTTCCTTTCTTCCTGTCCTTAGGCAAATTAGATTTTTCTAGTAGGTTCCTAGTCTCGTTTTCATGGAATT